AAACAATGAAATAAATAAAGAAATAAAATTGAGGTATCTAAATATAAAATTCAGCTTTTAAATTATAGTAATTTAATTTAATTTAAATAAGTTAAGATCACAGTCAGGAGACGAAAAATTCTAAGCATTTTCCTGAAATTGTCTTATACTACAATATTATTTAGCTTGAAGTTTTTTTTTTTTTCATTTATTTATTATCCATTTGGTATCCAGTTTTTTTTTTTTTTTATTTTTTTTTTTTTTCTTTTCCTCTTACTTCAACATTTTATATAGCATATATACTAAGAAGCTTCTATCATAAAAGTGTTTAAAATATATATGAATAAAGAATATATGTTTATATGCACATAAATAGGAAGCGATTAAGCATATAAATATAAGTTTATATACATACATATACATATGTACATATATACATTTATTATAAAGTATTTGCTTTAGCCATAGATAAAGCAGCGCTCACATTTTTAATTATAAATAAAAAGAATAATAGAGCGAAAAAAAATTATGCACATATACATACATATAATACCCAAAACAAAAAAAAACAACAAACTCTTATGAAAGCTGTGATTTTTAATATAAAAATATATACGAATTGCAATGGCAATAATTTCTATAAATATTAAATATTAAACAACTTCAGACCAATTCCAATAGCATTAATTGTTTGAACACAAAATATTATAATTATATAAATATGGTCAATATCTGATTTAAATAACATTTTAATAGAGTATATTAAATATTCGCTTGGCTGGCAAAACTTCATTCTCCAATAGTTTGGCTAATTTCAGCATAGTCGAAAAGTTTGGATTTACAATGCTCGATTTGGCTTCTGTTTATCTTGGCAGGCAGACAGAATGATTGAATGTGTTGCTTTTCTAACCAACATTCAATTTGGGCAATAACATTTTAGGCACGTCCCACTCGCTATTTTTATCTGGCGCAAGACATCGCGTGACTGTCGACAGGATTGGGAGAGAGCGAGAGAGAGTGAGCAAGAGAGGGAGCGAGAGAGAGTCCTTTGCAGCAATTTTGGGCAGCAAATGCCGACGACGCGTCGTTGTAGTTCAATTTATTGCATATTTAACTGAGTCAACTACAGAATAGTTCGATAGCAGCCGAAAAAAAAAGCTGAGATAAGAACTCGGGCGGAAAGAAAAGCCAAACAAGACCAGGCCAAGTGAAGCCGTTTGAAACTTGCGTGTTCCCAATGGCAGGCAAAGACAAGAATATCCGTGTAGTCAGAAGTCACGTGGTGGTTATGAATTTAACAATAGCATTAGGATATTGGCCTTAGATTGCCGGCTCAATTGAATTCAGCGTGCGAAAGTGTGCCGGAAAATCATTATCTGACATGACTCGGGTTAGGTGTCGCGGCGAATCAGCTTGAAAAAGGTTACATAATGTTACATCATAAAAGCTTTTTATCCGCAATGTGTTACATTTAAATAAATATTTTAATAATGCTTAAGCCTGCAAACCGCTTGTCGGAAGGCAAAACAAATATAAAATTGATGGCAGGATAAACCCATTTACCATTTACATTATAGTGTTGCTTTAAAACAACAAATTTAATTCGCGTAAATAATTATTTATTTACATTCATTGGATTTTTAAAGCAAACACTGAAATTGTTTTTATTTATATGTAACTATAATCATCAGGAAAATTTGTCAATACTAATACTAATGCGAATAGAAAGAAGTATTACCTATTGGTCAGCTGAAGGCGCCAGGAGTAAATTTTGATTTTATATTAATTTTTAATTTTATATTAACTCTAACGCCATCCAATAGATCTGATAATATATATGAAATTGCATTTGATCAAGGCAAAAATAAGAAGAAAATGTAATAATAATGTTTTAGTCTGCCTTATGAAAGAGCATATGCTTTTAAAGAAATTTATATTGGGGTCACCTCGGGTGGTAAATATACTTACAAGAAATAAAAGAGTTTTAGGACTGTGAAAGTTTTTTTTTTATATTTGTTTTTTAATCAAAGCTTTCGTAAATTCCGTTTATATTAAGTGTAGAGTCCATAGAGAACGTACGCAGCCTAAGTCGTAGAACTCTAGCTCTAGCAGTGACAGAGTACTAGAAACACCCAGAGTCTGTCTGTATTGCACAGAACTAATACTCTAAGCTTACTTTATATGAATGATGGAGAATGTGAAAATACGTATATTCCCATTCTCTATCATAAATATAAATAATACACATATATTCCCAACCTCCATCATCCATATAAAGTACTCAGCGCCTGTTGATTAGACTAACTCCAGCATTGGCGGGCTGGAACTTTAACAAATTGCTTAAAGCCCACATATGGCTTATAGAATCTAAAATGGGCCTTTAAGCATTTGCGAACAAATTATTTTATGTCTGCCCTGGAAGTGCGTGCAGCTGTCTAACAAACAGTAACCGAAACAAAAAAAAATCTAAAATCATCATCCCAGCGCTGGCTTTCCGTCTTTTTTTTGTTGCTGTGGTTTTGTTTTGTGCTGTTCGATAATATTTTTTTTGATTGAATCAAAATTGTTTTGACGATGTTGTTGGTTCTTTTGCTTTCCCTTATTTGTGTGTGTGTGTGTGTGTGTCTGTGTTTAGAATGGAAATCGTAAATTTACATTGCAATTGGCACAAAAAGTATTTACAATGAGGTTTATTTGATGCTACTTCCGTTATCTGGGTGTCCCTTTTACTGTGTGCTCTGCCCATATCGGGCGCTTCTTCGGTGTTTCTTATAGCGAAGCTCTGCTGCCAGCCGGATTATGAATAATTCAAATAATCTGAAATGATACCTAAAAACTTTGACAACGAGCGAGCGATGCGGTACAAAGAGGAGGAGGAGGAGGAGGAGTGGGTCTCTCGGATGTGGAAGGAGGAGGAGGAGGAGGAGGAGCAGGAGGAGTAGTAGGAGGAGAGACTTGGCTTAACGCAGCATCAAATAAAGTTCTCGTTTTGTTGTTTTGCCTTTGTTATTATTACGATGATGGTTGGTGTGATTTTTGGCGGTGCCACTGGCCCAATCCCAGCACCACAACTGCTGCCGTTGGTGTCAAGCGAATTTGCATTTAACTTTCTACGTTTGCCCAACACAAAATGAAATGCGATAATCAAATACGTCCAACAACAATGCGCTCGCTCGCTCCAATAGCAA